CTGAACCGTGACAGAGAACCGTCCGTAGCATTCCAGGACCCCTTTCTGCTTCCACCGGCAGGTATCAAAGCCACGTTCCCACCCACTCCGCACACATTCTACCCCTCTTCCCCCCCAAAAACAGCATTTTATAATTTTCACCTTTTTCAGGAATTCTCTCTGCAATTCCTATGCTAGTGGACAGGTAATTGCCAACATCCCTAAGACTAGTGGCAAAAAACGTTACATTTCCTCACTTGGGATATTTTTTTGGCCAAATCATTTATCTATTACATGTATTTATAAAGCAGTGCTTTACACATATATTGTACATTCACATCAGTCCCTCACCCTCAAGGGGTGTACAAGCTAAGGTGTGTGTGTATATATATATATATATATATATATATATATATATATATATATATATATATATATATATATATATATAGTACATAGTTAGTCTGGCTGAAAAAAGACAAAAGACCAACCAGTTCAACCATTAAAAAGAAAAAGTTACAATCCTACACCCACAATTGATCCAGAGGAAGGCAAGAAAACCCAGCAAAGCACGATCCAATCTCCTCTTGCAGGGGAAACATTCCTTCCTGATCCCCCGAGAGGCAATCGGATATTCCCGGGATCAATATTCGGATATTCCCTGGATCAACCTATATCCCTGTGTATAGGAACAGCAATCCACTGAGCTGGCCACAACCAACTCTGGAGGGAGTCTATTCCACATTCTCAGCTCTTACTGTGAAGAAACCTTTCCATGTTTGGAGATGACATTTCTTTTCTTCCAAACGTAAAGAGCGCCCCCTTGTCCTCTGTGATGACCTCAGGGGGAATAACTACACCGAGTTCACTATATGACCCACTGATGTATTATACATGGAGATCATATCCCCCCCTTATGTATTATACATGGAGATCATATCCCCCCTTATGTATTATACATGGAGATCATATCCCCCCTTATGTATTATACATGGAGATCATATCCCCCCCTTATGTATTATACATGGAGATAGTATCCCCCCCTTATGTATTATACATGGAGATATATCCCCCCCTTATGTATTATACATGGAGATCATATCCCCCCCTTATGTATTATACATGGAGATCATATCCCCCCTTATGTATTATACATGGAGATCATATCCCCCCCCTCCTTATGTATTATACATGGTGATCATATCCCCCCTTATGTATTATACACGGAGATCATATCCCCCCCTTATGTATTATACATGGAGATCATATCCCCCCCTTATGTATTATACATGGAGATCATATCCCCCTTATGATGGAGAACATATCCCCCCCCCTTATGTATTATACATGGAGATCATATCCCCCCTTATGTATTATACATGGAGATCATATCCCCCTTATGTATTATACACGGAGATCATATCCCCCCTTATGTATTATACATGGAGATCATATCCCCCCTTATGTGTTAGAAGCCAGTTAACCTCCCAGCATGTCTCTAGAGTGTGGTAGGAAACTGGAGTACCCGGAGGAAACCCATCCAGGCACAGGGAGAACATGCAAACTCCAGGCGGTGGTGGTGCGTTGGTTGGGATTCGCATCAATGACCCGAGTACTGCCAAGCAGAAGCGCTAGCTATTTAGCCACTGTGCTGCCCATAAATAACACAATATTCATGCCAATCTTCATTTGGTGCAAAATCAATAAAATATTATTTTACAATTGTAGTATGGCTGGTTTATTGGACAGATATATGAATTCCCAATTTCCCTGATTAACAATTGTCTTCCTTCATACCAGTTTGGCTCTGAATTTTGGCAAAGTGAATATTTGCATATCAACTCCGGCGCTTAGATTGCATATTTAAATTTATACCAAACTGATCTCTTCCATGTATTTCCCAGTATTTGATGGCCAGCTTACCAGTAGCATGGACCAATATGTAAGACATCGAAATGAAGTGCAGTGAAGACTCCCCGGACCCCGCATTCCCATCCGCTTCACCCTAGCATCCGCTCTCCCCGGACCCCGCATTCCCTATATCCGCTCTCCCCGGACCCCGCATTCACTGTATCCGCTCTCCCCGGACCCCGCATTCCCTATATCCGCTCTCCCCGGACCCCGCATTCACTGTATCCCCTCTCCCCAGACCCCGCATTCCCTATATCCGCTCTCCCCGGACCCCGCATTCACTGTATCCCCTCTCCCCGGACCCCGCATTCACTATATCCGCTCTCCCCGGACCCCGCATTCACTATATCCCGCTCTCCCCGGACCCCGCATTCACTATATCCGCTCTCCCCGGACCCCGCATTCACTATATCCGCTCTCCCCGGACCCCGCATTCACTATATCCGCTCTCCCCGGACCCCGCATTCACTATATCCGCTCTCCCCGGACCCCGCATTCACTATACCCGCTCTCCCCGGACCCCGCATTCCCTATACCCGCTCTCCCCAGACCCCGCATTCCCTATACCCCCGCTCTCCCCGGACCCCGCATTCCCTATGTCCGCTCTCCCCGGACCCCGCATTCACTATATCCGCTCTCCCCGGACCCCGCATTCACTATATCCGCTCTCCCCGGACCCCGCATTCACTATATCCGCTCTCCCCGGACCCCGCATTCCACTATATCCGCTCTCCCCGGACCCCGCATTCACTATATCCGCTCTCCCCGGACCCCGCATTCACTATATCCGCTCTCCCCGGACCCCGCATTCACTATATCCGCTCTCCCCGGACCCCGCATTCACTATATCCGCTCTCCCCGGACCCCGCATTCACTATATCCGCTCTCCCCGGACCCCGCATTCACTATATCCGCTCTCCCGGACCCCGCATTCATACATCCGCTCTCCCCAGACCCCGCATTGATCAATATACCGCGCTCCCCCGGACCCCGCATTCACTACATCCGCTCTCCCCGGACCCCGCATTCACTATATCCGCTCTCCCCGGACCCCGCATTCACTATATCCGCTCTCCCCGGACCCCGCATTCACTATACCCGCTCTCCCCGGACCCCGCATTCACTATATCCGCTCTCCCCGGACCCCGCATTCCTATGTCCGCTCTCCCGGACCCCGCATTCACTATGTCCGCTCTCCCCGGACCCCGCATTCACTATGTCCGCTCTCCCCGGACCCCGCATTCACTATATCCGCTCTCCCCGGACCCCCGCATTCACTATATCCGCTCTCCCCGGACCCCGCATTCACTATATCCGCTCTCCCCGGACCCCGCATTCCTATATCCGCTCTCCCCGGACCCGCATTCACTATATCCGCTCTCCCGGACCCCGCATTCACTATATCCGCTCTCCCCAGATCCTGCATTGATTATATCCGCTCTCTCTGGACCCCTGACCAGTGCCCGCCCACCCACAGTGCCGCGAGGCCCTCATCAACGCACATCAGTGAAGGAGAAAAATTTTATAATAGAAACAAAGAAAAACTTTTTTTTTTTTTTTAATTTTTTGCTCTTTTTTTGCTTATAGAGCAAAAAATAAAAACCCCAGTGGGGAGCACATACCACCAAAAGAAAGCTCCATTTCTGTGAAAAAAAATTATAAAAATCTCATATGGGTACAGTGTTGCACGACCGCGCAATTGTCATTCAAAGTGCGACAGAGCTGAAAGCTGAAAATTAGCCTGGTAAGGAAGGGGGTAGAAGCGCCCGGTAGGCAGGAAGGGGGTAGAAGCGCCCGGTAGGCAGGAAGGGGGTAGAAGCGCCCGGTAGGCAGGAAGGGGGTAGAAGCGCCCGGTAGGCAGGAAGGGGTAGAAGCGCCCGGTAGGCAGGAAGGGGGTAGAAGCGCGGTAGGCAGGAAGGGGGGTAGAAGCAGGAAGGGGGTAGAAGCGCCCGGGTAGGCAGGAAGGGGGTAGAAGCGCCCGGTAGGCAGGGGGGAAGGGGGTAGAAGCGCCCGGTAGGCAGGAAGGGGGTAGAAGCGCCCGGTAGGCAGGAAGGGGGTAGAAGCGCCCGGTAGGCAGGAAGGGGGTAGAAGCGCCCGGTAGGCAGGAAGGGGGTAGAAGTGCCGGTAGGCAGCAAGGGGGTAGAAGTGCCCGGTAGGCAGGAAGGGGGTAGAAGCGCCCGGTAGCAGCAGGGGGTAGAAGTGCCCAGTGGGCAGGAAGGGGGTAGAAGCGCCCGGTGTAGGCAGGAAGGGGGTAGAAGTGCCCGTAGGCAGGAAGGGGGTAGAAGTGCCCGGTGGGCGGTAGAAGGCGGTGGGGAAGGGGGTAGAAGCGCCCTGTGGGCAGGAAGGGGGTAGAAGTGCCCTGTGGGCAGGAAGGGGGTAGAAGTGCCCGGTAGGCAGGAAGGGGGTAGAAGTGCCCGGTAGGCAGGAAGGGGGTAGAAGTGCCCGGTAGGCAGGAAGGGGGTAGAAGTGCCCGGTAGGCAGGAAGGGGGTAGAAGTGCCCGGTGGGCAGGAAGGGGGTAGAAGTGCCCTGTGGGCAGGAAGGGGGTAGAAGTGTCCTGTAGGCAGGAAGGGGGTAGAAGTGCCGGTAGGCAGGAAGGGGGTAGAAGTGCCCAGGAAGGGGGTAGAAGTGCCCCAGGAAGGGGGTAGAAGTGGTGGGCAGGAGGGGGGAAGGGTAGAAGTGCCCGGTAGGCAGGAAGGGGGGAAGGGGGTAGAAGGGGGTAGAAATGTCCTGTAGGCAGGAAGGGGGTAGAAGTGCCCAGGAAGGGGGGTAGAAGTGGTAGGCAGGAAGGGGTAGAAGTGCCCGGTAGGCAGGAAGGGGTAGAAGTGCCCGGTAGGCAGGAAGGGGGTAGAAGTGCCTGGTAGGCAGGAAGGGGGTAGAAGTGCCCGGTGGGTAGAAGGAAGGGGGTAGAAGTGCCCGGTAGGCAGGAAGGGGGTAGAAGTGCCCGGTAGGCAGGAAGGGGGTAGAAGTGCCCGGTAGGTGAGGAGTTAATGAGCTCAAACTGACGTCAAGCAAGCAAAAAGGACCAATTCCCATCAATAGGATCCTGAAATCGGATTAAAAAAAAAAGAAAAAAAAAAGAAAAAAAAAATAAATCAGACCCTTCCATCCCTCATCCCTCTGTCACTCCCTTACCTCTGTAGAAGTTGGCATTCCTGAGGAACATGGTACTGTTCAAGATAGCCAAAACCCAACATAGGGGCAGGAGGTAGAGAATGCACACCGAGCCCAGCGATAGTCCGTACAACCTGATGAACAGAAAATATTATAAAGTACGGCGTATTCCCACATCATACAGACACAAAACTGGAGGGTGCAATATCTAAATCTTAATAAAAACTTGCAAAATCTAAGACTACTAGAACTGGAGGGTGCAAAATCTAAGACTACTAGAACTGGAGGGTGCAAAATACTAAACTGGAGGGTGCTTACTTACTAAAAACTGGAGGGTGCAAAATCTAAGACTACTATAACTGGAGGGTGCAAAATCTAAAACTTACTAAAAACTGGAGGGTGCAAAAAATCTAAATCTATATACACTGGAGGGTGCAAATATAAACTTACTAAAAACTGGAGGGTGCAAAATCTAAAACATACTAAACTGGAAGGTGCAAAATCTAAAACTTACTAAAACTGGAGGGTGCAAAATCTAAAACATACTAAACTGGAAGGTGCAAAATCTAAGACTAAAACGGGAGGGTGCAAAATCTGGTGCAGCTCTGCATAGAAACCAATCAGAGGGAAAAGAAAAAAGGGCGCCTCTAAGTGTAGACTTAAAATCAAACTTATTGCACACAATATTAGGCAACTCTCAGGAGAGTAGGATAAAAGGGGCACATCTGTACCCGTTAGTTTGGTGAACAGCCGTTGTGTAGGAGTCCTCCGAACGCCGTTAGTATACTCAGACCCACGTACGTAATTTCCAGGCCGGACGGCAAAAAGGTGAAAGGGATCCGGAAATGAGAGCTGGAGGGCAGCTCGACGTGATGACGTCAGGCATGACGACGTCACCAGTCAGTGCAACGCATTTCTTGGGCATGCGCACTGCAGATTTTCTAAGCAGTGGCCCTGTGTTCCAGTGGTGAGGAAGCAGTTCTCTGATGGGAGCACCCAGGCGGGGTGCGAGGCGGTCCGTCACACTTCCTAAATATGGAAATTTGCCCATCGGCATGACAGCCTGGGGTGCTTCTGAAGTCATCGATGGTAATTCAGGTATTTCTGTCACGACATGTTTACTTGAAAGCACTTCTTATTGAATTCCAATCATTACATGGGGCGGCTGCATTCGTTTTCTTTTCTTAGGCTTCTTCCTCTCCTTGTTTTCACCTGGTGACCTGGCCAGTAACACAACTGTCAGTACTGCTGCAAGTTTTTCTTGTATCTGGAAAAGTCGTCGTCAATCCCGACTGTTTCCAGAGACGATTTTTCCTGATACAAGAAATCCTTGCAGCAGAGGTGTGTAACAGGTACTTATACAGCGACGTCAATTTACACCGCACTTTACATATATATTGTACATTCACATCAGTCCCCCGCCCCCGAGGAGCATACAATCTAAGATCCCTAACTCACATTCATACATACACATACTAGGGCCAATGTAGACAGCAGACAAGTAACCTACCAGCATGTCTTTTGGAGTGTGGGAGGAAACTGGAGTACCCAGAGGAAACCCACCCAGGCACAGAGAGAACATGCAAACTCCAGGCAGGTGGTGCCGTGGTTGGGATTCGAACCCACGATCCGAGTACTGTGCTGCCTTTAAATCATCGCTGAACAACTTCCTACATGTTAAGGCATTACTGCCACTACTACTCATTTCACCTCCCCGATTTATACTGATAGAATACAGAAGAGAAATCCAATATGGAGTGTTCACAGCTAAATTAAAGTGGAACTCTGAGCAAGATTTTTTTTTTTTTTTTTTTTGAATGACATTTAGGATGCATTGGGGTTGGTTTACTAAAGGCAAATAGCCCCTAACTAACTTCAGCCTGTAGAGACAAACGGCACATCTGCACAAGGGCTTGCTCATGCTCCCTCGGCACACATTTGCTCATGCTCCCTCGGCACACATTTGCTCATGCCCCCTCGGCACACATTTGCTCATGCCCCCTCGGCACACATTTGCTCATGCCCCCTCGGCACACATTTGCTCATGCTCCCTCGGCACACATTTGCTCATGCCCCCTCGGCACACATTTGCTCATGCCCCCTCGGCACACATTTGCTCATGCCCCCTCGGCACACATTTGCTCATGCCCCCTCGGCACACATTTGCTCATGCTCCCTTGGCACACATTTGCTCATGCCCCCTTGGCACACATTTGCTCATGCCCCCTTGGCACACATTTGCTCATGCCCCCTTGGCACACATTTGCTCATGCCCCCTTGGCACACATTTGCATATGCACCCTGGGTAGCCGCTTGCTCATGCCCTCTTGGCTCACATTTGCACATGCACCCTGGGTAGCCGCTTGCTCATGCCCTCTTGGCGCACATTTGCTCATGCATGCTTGGTAACAGCTTGCTCATGCCCCCTTGGCACACATTCGCTCATGCCCCCTTGGCACACATTCGCTCATGCCCCCTTGGCACACATTCGCTCATGCCCCCTTGCACCATTCGCCTTGGCACACATTCGCTCATGCCCCCTTGGCACACATTCGCTCATGCCCCCTTGGCACACATTCGCTCATGCTCCCTTGGCACACTTTTGCTCATGCTCCCTTGGCACACTTTTGCTCATGCTCCCTTGGCACACTTTTGCTCATGCTCCCTTGGCACACTTTTGCTCATGCCCTCTTGGTACACATTTGCTCATGTATGCTTGGTAGCAGCTTGCTCATGCCCCCTTGGCACACATTTGCACATGCCCCCTTGGCACACATTTGCACATGCCCCCTTGGCACACATTTGCACATGCTCCCTGGGTAGCCGCTTGCTCATGCCCTCTTGGCTCACATTTGCTCATGCCCCCTTGGCACCAATTTGCTCATGCATGCTGGGTAACAGCTTGCTCATGCCCCCTTGGCACACATTCGCTCATGCCCCCTTGGCACACACTCGCTCACGCACCCTGGGGTAGCCGCTTACTTATGCCCCCTTGGCTCATATTTGCTCATGCCTCCTTGGCATTGTTATGGTTTGTTCCAACTATAAACCTTCCCCCCCCCCCCCCCCATCGATGGCCCATTATTACCCAATCACGGTTACTTTCAAGGACAAAAAAAAAGCAGAGAATTTGTAGTTTTTCTAAGAAACCAAATGACAAAACAGGTCGGGATGGTCACTGCTGAGGAGTTTGCACAACTGATCATTGCAGCCAGTATAATGTATCACCAGTTGGGGGAGGGGGGGGAGGGGGGGGGGAGGCGCATGTGAGAAGTAAAAATGAGGAACAGAAACCCAGAATGAGGAAAGCGTTCTGTAGGGAGACTACAACCTTCACGAGGCTTCAGCCAGAGTTACATTGTGTACAAGAAGCTCCATTACATAACACCGGCCAATAATGTGTGCGATGAAGAAGAGGGAATAACGGACCCCCCCGGACCCCCGCATTCACTATATCCGCTCTCCCCGGACCCCGCATTCACTATATCCGCTCTCCCCGGACCCCGCATTCACTATATCCGCTCTCCCCGGACCCCGCATTCACTATATCCGCTCTCCCCGGACCCCGCATTCACTGTATCCGCTCTCTCCCCGGATCCGCTCTCCCCCCGCATTCACTATATCCGCTCTCCCCGGACCCCGCATTCCCTATATCCGCTCTCCCCGGACCCCGCATTTGCTATATCCGCTCTCCCCGACCCCGCATTCACTATATCCGCTCTCCCTGACCCCGCATTCACTAGATCCGCGCTCCCCGGACCCCGCATTCACTAGATCCGCTCTCCCCGGACCCCGCATTCACTAGATCCGCTCTCCCTGACCCCGCATTCACTAGATCCGCTCTCCCCGGACCCCGCATTCACTAGATCCGCTCTCTCAGGACCCCGCATTCACTATATCTGCTCTCCCCGGACCCCGCATTCACTATATCTGCTCTCCCCGGACCCCGCATTCACTAGATCCGCTCTCCCCGGACCCCGCATTCACTAGATCCGCTCTCCCCGGACCCCGCATTCACTAGATCCGCTCTCCCTGACCCCGCATTCACTAGATCCGCGCTCTCCCTGACCCCGCATTCACTAGATCCGCTCTCCCTGACCCCGCATTCACTAGATCCGCTCTCCCTGGACCCCGCATTCACTAGATCCGCTCTCCCCGGACCCCGCATTCACTAGATCCGCTCTCCCTGGACCCCGCATTCACTAGATCCGCTCTCCCTGGACCCCGCATTCACTAGATCCGCTCTCCCCGGACCCCGCATTCACTAGATCCGCTCTCCCCGGACCCCGCATTCACTAGATCCCGCTCTCTCAGGACCCCGCATTCACTATATCCGCTCTCCCCAGACCCCGCATTCACTATATCTGGTCTCCCCGGACCCCGCATTCACTATATCCGCTCTCCCCAGACCCCGCATTCACTATATCCGCTCTCCCCGGACCCCGCATTCACTAGATCTGCCTTCCTCACCATCAGAATACAATGATCAGGGTTGCTGGCTATAGCTGGCGGCACCGATTGTTTCGAGAAAAACCTGACTGTCTGGTTGTATAAAAGTCGATTAATTGATCGACTTCTGTACAGTCAGTCCATACATGAATCGAAATTCAAGTCAGTCCCCACTGAACTGTCTAGCTTTACACTTTGCACCCAACACTGACACCAAGTGCTCGGTCATACCGCTGCGATTTCAGGTGCGATTCCAGAATAGAAATCACACTACAAATCGCATCTAATGAATGTCCGTGTCTTAACATGCGATTTTCTGCAGCGCGATTTCTAAGGTAGTTCCGGCGTGACTTTCTGCCTCTTTGTTACCATTTCACTTACATAGAATAGAATGGAAATCGCACTGAAAATTGCAAGAAATCGTTTCAAATCTTCACAGGTAGTAATAAAGTCTTCAGAAATCGCACCTGAAAGCACGCAATGTTAAATCGCGCAGCGGTGTGACCGGGGACCAAGTTGCAAGCCACAGTTGAATTGGAGGTATAACACCCCGGTCGCATCGGGTGCGATTTGCATGCCCTGCAACTTGCAAATCGTATGCCAAGTCGCACCCTATTGTTCGCTATTACAGCGGTCATATCGGTGTGGTTCTGACTTTGTCGCAGCCGCACCGATTTCTACAGCATGCACTACTTTTGTTGCGATTTGCATAGACTTCTGTGTCAGATGTCTTGCAAATTGCAATTGAAATCAGCAGGTCACCCGATTTTGAAATCCTGCAACGTCACTGTATTTCAAAACGTGACCGGAGTGTAAGTGCCCGCTGACACCGATGCAATTTCAGGTGCGACTTCAAAGTCGTGTTCAGTGTGAACCAGGCCTAGGGGCCAATTCATACATATTGCGGTGACAGATGTTCTACTGCATTGTGAAACGTCTTTCCCCGCAGGGACACACAGGAATCGATTGTTTCCTACGTGCCCCACTCACGCTGAGCGTCTGGGAACAGCAATTTTCAGGTCTGGCCACAGATTCTCCACTGGATTTGGGTCTGGACTGTGACTGGGCCATTCTAACCCATGAAGATGCTTTGATCTGAACCATTCCATTGTAGCTCTGGCTGGATGTTTCGGGTCGTTGTCCTGCTGGAAGGGGAACCTCCGCCCCGGTCTCAAGTCTTCTGCAGACTCTCACAGGTTTTCTTCTAAGATTGCCCTGTATTTGGCTCCATCCATCTTCCCATCAACTCTGACCAGCTTCCCTGTCCCTGCTGAAGAAAAGCATCCTCACCACATGTTTACTGCCACCACCATGTTTCACGGTGGGGATGGTGTGTTCAGGGTAATGTGCAGTGTTAGTTTTCCCCCACACATAGTGTTTTGCTTTCAGGCCAAAAAGTTGAATTTTGGTCTCCTCTGACCAGAGCCCCTTCTTCCACATGTTTGCTGTGTCCCCCACATGGCTTCTCACAAACTGCAAACGGGACTTCTTATGGTTTCCTTCTTGCCACTCTTCCATAAAGGCCAGATTTGTGGAGTGACGACGAATAGTCCTCCTGTGGACAGATTCTCCCACCTGAGCTGTGATCTCTGCAGCTCTTCCAGAGTTCCCATGAGCCTCTTGGCTGCTTCTCTGATGAATGCTCTCCTTGCCCGGCCGGTCAGTTTAGGTGGATGGCCATGTCTTGGTAGGTTGGCAGTTTCTATATTCGGATGATGGATTGAACAGTGCTCCGTGAGATGGTCAAAGCTTGGGAGATTTATTTATTTATTTTTTTTTTTTATAACCTAACCCTGCTTTAAACTTCTCCACAACTTTATCCCTGACCTGTCTGGTGTGTTCCTTGGCCTTCATGATGCTGTTTGTTCACTAACGTTCTCTAACAAACCTCTGAGGGATTCACAGAACAGCTGGAATTATACTGAGATCACATGACACACAGGGGGACTCTATGTACTAATTAGGGGACTTCTGAAGGCAATTGGTTCCACTAGATTTTAGTTAGGGGTGTCAGAGTAAAGAGGGCTGAATACAAATGCCGCCAGATTTTCAGATATTTGTAAAAAAAATTTGAAAACCATTTATCATTCTCTTTCCAGTTCACAATGATGTACCACTTTGTGTTGGTCGATCGCATCCAATCCCAATAAATACCATGACGGTTCTGGTTGTCACATGACAACATGGGGGACATTTCAAGGGGGGTGAAGACTTTTTCAAGGCGCTGTATCTGTACTGATACTAAGCATTAGCACTCATGCAAATCCACCGATACCTTTGCGTTGCGTTTTGAGCTCATACAAAATGAATGGTCTCAAATCGCACTAAAGAAGAATCGCATGTGACTTGAACAGGAATGCGGTACAACTCCTGTCCGAATCCCATGCGGTTCCCCTGCGAGTGCGGTGTCGGCCGTACAAAATGATGTGCTCAAATCGCAGCGTGCAGAATTGCACAGGAATGCAGTGCGACTCCTGTGCGCATTACATGCGATGTGACCGTGTAGGCCGGGCCTCAATGGTAAACGTATCCCCATACTTACTGGAAGGAGGCGGAGGGGTTCTGCCAGTACAGAACATGGTAGACTCGCTCGCAGGTGCCACACGTCATGTTCAGTATACCTTCCAGCTGGATTAGGCTGCAACAAAGGAAAACAAATATGGAGGTCCTTAGAGGGAACCAATGCTGAAAGATCAATCCATCTAGAAATATTGGGATCGCACCGACTGGAATGTTTTTATATATTTTATCAGCTATGGTGTAGAAACATAGAAGAGCCACAGAAGAAAAAAAGACCAAGAGGTCCATCAAGTCTGCCCCAATTAATATTTCATTTAGATTTTTTGGGGGTTTTATTCTGTTTTTTGTTTGTTTGTTTCTTAGAGTATAGATCTATCTTGGTCCCAATCGTGTCTTGGTCTCGCCTGCTCTGGTCCAGTCTGCCCCTCGGTCTCTCGCCTGCTCTGGTCCAGTCTGCCCCTCGGTCTGCCCCTCGGTCTCGCCTGCTCTGGTCCAGTCTGCCCCTCGGTCTCGCCTGCTCTGGTCCAGTCTGCCCCTCGGTCTCGCCTGCTCTGGTCCAGTCTGCCCCTCGGTCTCGCCTGCTCTGGTCCAGTCTGCCCCTCGGTCTCGCCTGCTCTGGTCCAGTCTGCCCCTCGGTCTCGCCTGCTCTGGTCCAGTCTGCCCCTCGGTCTCGCCTGCTCTGGTCCAGTCTGCCCCTCGGTCTCGCCTGCTCTGGTCCAGTCTGCCCCTCGGTCTCGCCTGCTCTGGTCCAGTCTGCCCCTCGGTCTCGCCTGCTCTGGTCCAGTCTGCCCCTCGGTCTCGCCTGCTCTGGTCCAGTCTGCCCCTCGGCTCTGGTCCAGTCTGCTGCTCTGGTCCAGTCTGCCCCTCGGTCTCGCCTGCTCTGGTCCAGTCTGCCCCTCGGTCTCGCCTGCTCTGGTCCAGTCTGCCCCTCGGTCTCGCCTGCTCTGGTCCAGTCTGCCCCTCGGTCTCGCCTGCTCTGGTCCAGTCTGCCCCTCGGTCTCGCCTGCCTGGTCCAGTCTGCCCCTCGGTCTCGCCCTGCTCTGGTCCAGTCTGCCCCTCGGTCTCGCCTGCTCTGGTCCAGTCTGCCCCTCGGTCTCGCCTGCTCTGGTCCAGTCTGCCCCTCGGTCTCGCCTGCTCTGGTCCAGTCTGCCCCTCGGTCTCGCCTGGTCCAGTCTGCCCCTCGGTCTCGCCTGGTCCAGTCTGCCCCTCGGTCTCGCCTGGTCCAGTCTGCCCCTCGGTCTCGCCTGGTCCAGTCTGCCCCTCGGTCTCGCCTGGTCCAGTCTGCCCCTCGGTCTCGCCTGGTCCAGTCTGCCCCTCGGTCTCGCCTGGTCCAGTCTGCCCCTCGGTCTCGCCTGGTCCAGTCTGCCCCTCGGTCTCGCCTGGTCCAGTCTGCCCCTCGGTCTCGCCTGGTCCAGTCTGCCCCTCGGTCTCGCCTGGTCCAGTCTGCCCCTCGGTCTCGCCTGGTCCAGTCTGCCCCTCGGTCTCGCCTGGTCCAGTCTGCCCCTCGGTCTCGCCTGGTCCAGTCTGCCCCTCGGTCTCGCCTGGTCCAGTCTGCCCCTCGGTCTCGCCTGGTCCAGTCTGCCCCTCGGTCTCGCCTGGTCCAGTCTGCCCCTCGGTCTCGCCTGGTCCAGTCTGCCCCTCGGTCTCGCCTGGTCCAGTCTGCCCCTCGGTCTCGCCTGGTCCAGTCTGCCCCTCGGTCTCGCCTGGTCCAGTCTGCCCCTCGGTCTCGCCTGGTCCAGTCTGCCCCTCGGTCTCGCCTGGTCAGTCTGCCCCTCGGTCTCGCCTGGTCCAGTCTGCCCCTTGGTCTGCTCTGGTCCAGTCTGCCCCTTTGGTCTGCTCTGGTCCAGTCTGCCCTTTGGTCTGCTCTGGTCTAGTCTGCCCCTTGGTCTCGCCTGGTCTAGTCTGCCCCTTGGTCTCGCCTGGTCTAGTCTGCCCCTTGGTCTCGCCTGGTCTAGTCTGCCCCTTGGTCTTGCCTGGTCTAGTCTGCCCCTTGGTCTGCTCTGGTCTAGTCTGCCCCTTGGTCTCGCCTGGTCTAGTCTGCCCCTTGGTCTCGCCTGGTCTAGTCTGCCCCTTGGTCTCGCCTGGTCTAGTCTGCCCCTTGGTCTGGTCTTAGTGCCACGTGCCTGGAGGATGTGAAGCAATGGAGGAAATACTCACAAACTCTTAAACTCTGCCACAGCCTCCTGCCGTGTGAGTTTGACTTTCTGCAGATCCTCTCGGCGCACACAGTAATATTTCCTCCGGGCCAGATCAGCCTCAGGAATCTGTTTGCGTGACGTCTCCTGCAGATATCCAATCAGAGCCGGGATGGAGATGAGGAGGGCTCCCACCGAGAACCAGGCAACTGCAAGAGGAACATCATGCGTTTAGAAGCAAGTAGAGGATGAGCCGTCATCAATAATATGCAGAAACACAATAAATGGATGCTGGCTTCACCTCATAAAGCAGAACTCCGGACTGATAGAGGAAAAAATAACATTCATGTATAAATAGCAACTTAGAATTCATTTATTAGAATAGTTACAGATTTTTATTTGTACATATCAGCCTCAGGCGACTGATGCTGCTATGAAGCCGCACACTTGAGGGTCACCTTTGAATGTCCAAGTCTGGGTGTAGCTGACTGTGGCCAGGATCGGACATCCACCATGAACCACAGCTATCCCCGTGATGTGCAGCTACATGCGGACAGTTGGGGGCGCTCTCAGCCGGTCATTCGTTTATATAGGCAGAGGGGCTGCCGTTATCCGCATGCACCTCTCATTTCCGCCTCAATGATCCCCACTGATTCCTGCCGCTGGAATCCGCTGTATGTTACTAAACGGCCATGAGAAGCATTATTCTGCGCGGTCATGCAACACCGTGTGCAATGGAAATTTATATCATTTTTTTTTTTCACACAAATAGGTTTATTTGGTGGTAATTGATCACCACTCAGTTTTTTATTATATAAAACTAAAAAAAAAAAAAAAAAAACAAAAAAAAAAAAAAAAAAAAAAAGGACCAAGAATTTTGAAAAAAAAAATATCTTTTACTTTCTGCTATAAAACATATCCAATTAGAACATTTTTATACTAGTAATGGCGGTGATCAGCGGCTAATAGTGGGACTGGGATAGTGCGGCGGGCAACCTGACACTAACTGACATTGGTTGGGAACTGACTAAATGACACAGACATCACCAGTGACACTAATATAGTGATCGGTGTCACTGTACCAGGGTCGGACTGACAACTCACGGGGCCCCTAGGCAATAGGGGATCATGGGGCCCCTGTGTCCTTGCCCACACTCAAAGCACACCCAAAAAAGCCTATAAAAAAAAAAAAAAAAGGTGCCAGGGGCATTTCATGGGCCCCTATTGACCCTGGGCCCTCGGGCAGCGCCCGAACTCTCAAATGGTCAGTCCGCCCCTGCACTGTACTAAATACACTGGCTGGGAAGGGGTTAACATTTAGGGAAGATCAAAGGGTTAACAGTGTGCTGTTTTTACCAAGCAATGTTCCAGTTTTTACTCCCTGTTTTGCAGGGAGGAAAATAAAAAGTCACACTGCTGCTGTCTTTAGAGAGCCCTGTGTTGTTTACCAACACAGAGCTCTCGTGTCACTCGCAGAAGTGGATAGAATTCTCATCCACTCAGAAGACGACGGGTATCCACATGAAGATGGTGGGGTCAGGGCCATGAATAAGGGGTACCATCAGTCCTCCTGTACGGGGCCCAGTCTAGCGGGTGGGTGAATCAGATGTGGGCAGGCAGGGTGACTGGCACAGTGCATGGGAGGGTGGTGGGGGGGGCAATTACTGGAACCGATCCCCTGTATGGCTCCCTCTGCAGCAGATAAAAGCTGGATTCTTCTCCTTTCCTTCCCGCTGGCTTTCAGCTGCTACAGAGCACCATACAGGGGATCGGCTCCAGTAATTGCCCTCCCTGCACCCGTCACCATCCCTGTACACCATACTGCTTTCCAAGCCCCCGCCCCCAAAGTGCTTCCGGCTTCCCTCCTCTCCTTCCCACTGGCTTTCAGCCGCTACAGAGAGAGCTATACAGGGGATCGGTTCCAGTAATTGCCCCAGCCGCACCCATCACCCTCCCTGTGCACCATACTGCTTTCCAAGCCCCCCGCCCCCAAAGTGCTTCCGGCTTCCCTCCTCTCCTTCCCACTGGCTTTCAGCCGCTACAGAGAGAGCTATACAGGGGATCGGTTCCAGTAATTGCCCCAGCCGCACCATCACCCTCCCTGTGCACCATACTGCTTTCCAAGCCCCCCACCCCCAAAGTGCTTCCGGCTTCCCTCCTCTCCTTCCCACTGGCTTTCAGCTGCTACAGAGAGAGCTATACAGGGGATCGGTTCCAGTAATTGCCCCAGCCGCACCCATCACCCTCCCTGTGCACCATACTGCTTTCCAAGCCCCCCCCCCCCAAAGTGCTTCCGGCTTCCCTCCTCTCCTTCCCACCGGCATCTGCAAGCACAAAATAGGATGCTTCAGGATCAAGAGTGGGGGGAAGGGTGCAGTAAATGGGCAGCACAGTGGCTAAATGGTTAGCACTTCCGCCTGGCAGTACTCGGGTCGTCAGTCCGAATCCCAACCACGGCACCACCTGCCTGGAGTTTGCATGTTCTCCCTGTGCCTGCGTGGGTTTCCTCCGGGTGCTCCGGTTTCCTCCCAAACTCCAAAGACATGCTGGTAGGTTAATTGGCTCCTGTCTAAATTGGCCCTAGTATGTGTATGTATGAATGTGAGTTAGGGACCTTAGATTGTACGCTCCTCGGGGGCGGGGACTGATGGGAATGTACAATATATATGTAAAGCGCTGCGTAAACTGATGGTGCTATATAAGTAGCTGTAATAAATAAATAAATAAATAAATGTCACATTTACCAGCCCCTTCCTTTCCTAAATGACCACAACAAGTGATCGGTAACCATCACTCACTGTGTTCATTCATAACTGAAGCATAGTAAAACTGTGGGGGGGTTTTTTTGGTGTGGGGGGGCTGTCAGGTTGGCTGTATGGGGCCCCGTGGTTTCTAACAGCGGTCTCGGGTCTGGTGTTCATAAGAATCAAATGTAATAGAGAAACACAATCATAAAACAACGGCTCAACTTATAATGAACAAGAATAAAGAAGGAAAGGCAAAAAAGAGAAGAAGAAGAGGACATGAGCAGTCACAGTGCTGTTACCCCCCCCCCCCCAGTTGTGGGTGACGTTTATTACTAGGACCCTGGGAAGGATTCATAACCAAAATGAAGAAGATAAAATGTCCTAATCCAGAACTTCATCGCTTCGGGGCATTGATACTAAAATGTGGACCGTGGTGCCTAGTTGGCCGCAGTTCCTGAAAACCTGGAGAGAGGCGCCTTCATATTTTGTTTTTCCTAGAGTGGGGAAGGGTTACACCTTCTGCCATGGCACGTTCCATGTCAAGTTGATGTTGCGTGCACCGGACACAAAAGACTTCTTCAGCACATAAAGAACTGGATACATTGTAAACAAGAAGTTGTTACATTTTCACTCGTCAGGGTTTTCATATACACACTCCAGCCGGCTCTTCCCTGTACCTGTCCTCTCCACCCGCCCCCTGCGCGGCCCGTCATCGGTCGCATAACTTCTGCAGTAATCCCGGCACATGGCTGGCAGCATTTCTCTTCCTAATCTCTGTACACAGTGACAGCGCAAACAATCCACACCCCGTCCTATGAGCAGAGAACAAAGAATCCTTTACTAGTCTGGAGGTGAGGGGGTCACAGACCTGCAACATTACCAAACTAAATCCTTAAAGGAAACCCTTCTCAAAAGACACACAAAAGACACCATTGTTGCTGGAAGTGCTGATTGCCTGGCTGTCATTCGGACTCTTCGGATTTGATACTTTGTGTCACTAATGCAGAAGAAGTATGCAGATCCTGACTTTCCTGATGTACATGATCATTATATAGTCAGTGACTACGAGAACCAGAGGACCAGCAGTACAGCCAGGCAACTGGAATTTTCAGAAGCAGGTCAGCAATGGCTGCCTTTGTTTCTCTCATGGGATGTTCTCACTTTCAGGCTAGAGCAGGAGAAAGGAAGGGGGAGGGGGAGTAATCAGTTAGTAAATAGATCGGGCTCTGCTTTAAAGTGAACCTGTATATCAAGGGTGTCAAACTCAATTTCACTGCGGACCGCATCAGCGTTATGGTTGCCCTCAAAGGGCCGGGTGTATCTCTAAGACTAGATGTCAAGAGCCTCCCCACCATCAGAAGTCAAGTCCCCCCCCACCATCAGAAGTCAGTCCCCAACCCCACCCACCATCAGAAGTCGAGTCCCCCACCCTCCCACCATCAGAAGTCGAGTCCCCCACCCCCCCACCATCAGAAGTCAGTCCCCCACCATCAGAAGTCGAGTCCCCCACCATCTCACCATCAGAAGTCGACTCCCCCACCATCAGAAGTCAAGTCCCCCACCATCTCACCATCAGAAGTCGAGTCCCCCACCCCCCCCACCATCAGAAGTCGAGTCCCCCACCATCAGAAGTCGAGTCCCCCACCCCCCACCACCATCAGAAGTCAAGAGTCCCCCACCCTCCCACCATCAGAAGTCGAGTCCCCCACCCCCCCACCATCAGAAGTCGAGTCCCCCACCCCCCACCACCATCAGAAGTCAAGAGTCCCCCACCCCCCCACCATCAGAAGTCGAGTCCCCCACCCCCCCACCATCAGAAGTCGAGTCCCCCACCATCAGAAGTCGAGTCCCCCACCATCTCACCATCAGAAGTCGACTCCCCCACCATCTCACCATCAGAAGTCGAGTCCCCCACCATCAGAAGTCAATAGTTCTCCACCATCAGAAGTAGAGTCTCCCACACCATCAGAAGTGGAGTCCCCCCCCCCCCCCCACACCATCAGAAGTCGAGAGTCCCCCACCATCAGAAGTCAAGAGTCCCCCACCTCCCACCATTAGAAGTCAAGAGTCTCCCACCATCAGAAATAAAGAGTCTCCCCCCCCCACCACCATCAGAAATAAAGAGTCACCCATCCCCCACCATCAGAAATAAAGAGTCTATCACCCTCCCTTACATTACAGTGCAACCCCCCCCCCCCTCCATTCGTGCTGCTGCCAGGAAGAAGCTGGGGGCAGAGTTGGGAAGCAAAATGTGCAGGGTCTGGGGGAGGACCAGAGAAGTGCTGGAGTCTGCTGGATGCAGAGAACAGGGGAAGAGGAGATGGGGGGTGCTGCAGCTGCACAGAGAGGTGCAGGATCTGTAGGAGGAGTTCTGTGCTCCTCCCTGCTGCCGACTGCTGAGACGGGGGGGGGGGGGAAGAGAAGAGCACAAAGAAGCGCAGGATCTGGCAGAGGAGTTCTGT